ACTCTTTCCTTCCTGTTTTCTTTTAATCGTGGACCGTTCTCTCATGCCTTAAAGAACCTTTTAAATGCAGCACTGCTTCCGCGGTGGCTGCTTTTGCACCTCCCGGCAGGGTGGGATCTGGGCTCACCTTCTCAGAAGTCTGGCACTCTTCAGGCTTTGATCCTGCACCATCTAACCCTTCAGCAACTATGTAAAGAGCCTTTGCAGGGGCATTGAAGTATATCAGTTTTCAGGGTTTGCAGTTGAAAATAAGCTTTATATGTATTTTGGGAGTGTCTGGATATATACAGAAACTTCTTCGTTTATTTAAGACGTGATTCAGTAGGGTGCTGCTCAGCACCTGAGGGGTGCCAGGTACCCATGGCCTTCAGCATCTGGCAGGGTCATTCTTGTGTGTCTGCAGTGGGAAAGGTTCAGGTCGTAACGGTGCTGGGAAATTTCATAGGCTTCATCTGTCTAGTTATACCCTGTCATAACGTCGGCTCAAACTGGATTACCCCTCAGTTAAATTTGTTCAGTTTGTGTTGTAAATTATTGAACAAACCTAAAGTGACCACCGGGGGTTAAATAATTTATGTGCGTCTACACATGGGTTTCTGCTGGTTTAACTATATGCATTTTTTAAAGCTGCAATGCTTCTGGTTCATGCATGGCCTTAATGTATACGGTTTGATATAGGGAAATGCTTGAATCTAAGTACTGCTGAACTGTAGCTGAGCTGCTGGTGCCTGTGCTAAGAAGAGTGGGTACAAGACCAGAAGAGAAGAATAAAAGCAGAACTAGCCAACTTAAACCCATGATAACTACTGATTTGACACAATTTTGTGCATACTCACAGCTAATTGAATCCTGTTGCTCCTGGGGTGGTTTTTTTTGTTTTTGGTTTTTTTTGTTTGTTTGTTTTCTGAATTCTTTCAGGCTGTATTTTTTGTGGATTCAAATAGCACAGTGAGAAGCCCTGATCACAACATCTTGATTTTATTGCAGCAATGTAAAAATTATGCCCACGTTTTCTGGCAAGGCAGGCGGTTCACTTTCCTTGTGTTATCAGATGGTATTTTTACTTTCCTGGCTGCCCTCTCTTGTTTGCATGTTGGACCAGCTGTCTGTTGCCCCCACTGGGATAATCTGTCTAGCTTGCAGCCTGGTCCCTCATGTACACCTGAGCTGCTCCAGAGAGATCTGACTGCTGCTAAAATAATGGTAAAGGTAGATTACAGTTTAGGCATCCTTGCTTCAGAGTCACTTTAGCCCTGTTAAACTGTTCATTCATGTAGACAGGCCTTACAAAACCTTGGGGTTTTGAGATCTTTGCCTCTCCTTGCTATTAAAGTTCACCCAGACTTTTATCTTCTCACCTAATTCCTATTGCTTACCCTTCTGGCTTTTATTATGTCCATCTCCTAGTCAAAGTGCTGGTGCTGGTGATATTTCCTGACATGCCGTGCCCTCCGTGTTAGCTTTCTATAGGTCTCTCAGTTGTCTTTATCTTTCATTGTGTTGAATTCAGGTTTCTTGTATCGAAAGGCCTTTCACATTTCTTTCTATTCCTGTTCATTATTTTGTTTCTTACTGAATCTTACCATCCACTTTGGTTCCCGCATACTTGCTTTTGTTCCCTTCCCCATAGGGAACATGTGATTTCTGAGTTAATGTTTAAAGCCACAAACCTATTTGTGCGTAAAGTTCCTCAAAACAAAGCACGTTACTAGCATTGTATGTGAGGTAATCATAGTCCGAAGGTAAACACTTTCTGTAACCTGGATCTTGTGACCAAGATTCGAACGCAAGAGCATGTAGTTCTGCAACTTCATTGTTCTCTTCCATTCATTTGTTAATCGTGCATGTTGGTTATGTCTGGTTTTGCAAGCTCTTTGGTAAAGGTAGTGTGTGCTGCGATACAAGCTTGGGAAGAGTAGTTCAGATTTGACTGGAATCCCTTGGTACCGTAATAACTAAAAGTATTTTTTCCCTGTTGTCCTAAATGCACCCAGGCAAGAGAGTGACAGAGATTGCTTCCAAGGAAATTTCAAAGCAAGTTATTTGTTGCTGGGTAGCATACTTGTATGAGATGTATTTTATAGTGGGGAAAAACTGGCAGTGCCTTAAAAAAATGTCAAATGTTAATGTTTGAGCTTCTGTAAAGGATGATTTAGTACTTTAAAACCAAATCTGACTCCCCCCCCCATCTTTTAAAGTTGGTTAATTTATTTCCCCATTCTCTTTGTCTTGCTCAGTTAGGACAGCGTGGTTAGATGCTGACTGTGTTTGGCCAGTTGAGGATTTCTAATCCCAGGATATGGAACCTTCATCTGGGATAAAACTGAACTGTAGGTAATTTCTGTGTTTCGTCCTTGTGTGGCAGAGGTGGAGGAGTGATGTGGTCATATCATGGCATTTTGTGGGGCTTTTGGCTTGTTGCCAGTTGGTATAGATTGAGCAGTCTCTGCCATGTGTGACTGTAGTCTGTGCTTCAGCTGCAGCTAAGCTAGGAAAAAAAATGGTTGTGGATGGATCAAATACTCTTGCACTGAGCAGAGAAAGATGAATGATGTAGGTTTGTAAATGCTGTTTAAAGCTCTGGTCTCTTAATTTGCTGGGGTCCGTTCTGGTGTGGCAGTTACATTAGGCTTCACTTATTTCAGAGGGGTTTTGTCGAAGTGAGTACTTAGGAGTGGGACCTTGGGTTGCTGGTTTCCTGAAAACAACTCTCATATCAGTTCATCACCTGCCAGAGTGACACGTGATCTTGCCTTGAGTTTATGATAATTGTAATGTTGGTATGTTTGTCCTTTAAGGACGAAATTCATGCGAAATACAGCTCCTCCAGATACGAGCAGTGTTAACAGAAAACAGACAAATTAATCTAACAGTTCTATTCCCCGAGCTGAGACTGAGGCGGTGCGAGGGGGATGCGTGTAAGCCACAGTAATAAGTGTATAGTAGTATTTCTTTACTGTATTTTGGTACATGGGGGACTCCTGTAAATATTTTTGGCATAATCTCTTAAAATTTTGTTTCTTTTAAACAGGACTAGAAGAATAAAGAGAAGTTTAATTTATGAGAACTATAAGAAAGCTTACAACAATTTGGAATGGATTGATTTATGATACCTCTGATATGTGAGAGCTACATTTTGTGTTGCTGTTGGCCAGCTGCTGCTGGTGGACTTCAGCTGATTTCATTGCAGCAAGCCCAACAGATAGGTCCTCATCGCTAATAGAACATAAACAAGTGTGATGCTGAAATGAGATGAGGCTCCGAAATGGAACTGTGGCCACCGTGTTAGTTTTCATCACTACTTTCCTCAGTTTGTCCTGGTACACTGCATGGCAAAATGGGAAAGGTGAGTAAAATGCGCCAAAACCAAATTGACCTTCATGTATGGCAGAGGAATGAATAGTACAGGCATGTGCACTGCTGCTGTATGTTAGCAATCTGTAAATTGCTTGTTGACTAGCTCTGCTCCAGAAGGTATTGCCTTGGTGAGGAATAAACACCTGCTGGTAGATTCAGGAAAATTAACTTAGAGTGATCCTGATTTAAAAAGAAAAAAAAAAAAAGTACCTGAAGAAAAACAAATGCTGCTGTTGGAGGAGGGGATTGGTCCAGGCCGAATAGTTGTGGTTTTTTTTTTTTTCCCTGGTTTATAGTTGTTGGGAAAACATATGGTCTCTGGTTGGTTTTTTTTGTTGTGGGTTTTTTTGTTCCCCCCCCCCCCGCCCCATGTAACATATGGCCAATGGACCTGGCTGGAGAACGTTATTTTTGGTGCTGCTTTTTGTCTTCCCTGATGATTCAGAGATGGCAGTGGCAAACTGCCAGTCAACATTGTTGAAAGACTTTTTCTTGCTGTCTTTGAATGAAACATAAAATATTTCTTGTCAGAGTATGGTATGTGAAATAAAGTAATATGAGCAAATTGACCAGGTAATGGGAAAGGCATCTATTGTGATAACATGAGCAATCTCATGAAATAATCAAGTAACTACTGTGTGTAATAGACTTTTACCTTTTTATATATGTTTGTTGATCTTATTGCACTCCATGTGAACCTTGGAAAATTCAGTTTTTCTGAGTGTCAGGACTGTTTACTGCAAGTAATGTTTCAGTTTTGTCCTTCAGTAAAGCAAATATACTTGTTTAGCAATGGTTTCTGGAAGAAGAAAGGTTTTGGTTTGTTTTTTTTTTTCTTTATAAACATCTGATGTCTTGAAACATAGTAGACTATGTCCTTCAAAGATCAAGTAATTTTAAAACACATTCTGTCTTAAGTGAGATTGCTACATGGTTTGTTCTGACTGTTTTTCTGAGAATATTACCTTCAGTTGTGCCTCAGGTCCAATAAGAGGAAGCTGGGGTTTTCCAGGAATATTGTCTGTTGTAGTACAGCCGACTTGTAACCCTTATTTAAGTATAAAAGAAGCAGATGAGTTTTGTGGCATATTGAATTCCTTCCCCCCCCCACCATTGGGCACTTGTTAGAGAAGCAGATGCTTTGTGGTGTGATCTCTGCTGTAGCAGTTGATTGGTAGGCTAGCCTTCTGAATGTAAGCAGCAAGAAAAATGGCAGGTTCTTGAGATTGTGGTAATATGTAGATCTTTTAATTGGACAACAAAAGTGTAGACGTGCCAAAGACTGACAAGAAAAGGGTATTTGAATATTGAAAGTAGTATTTTCTTCATTTTGGCTAATACCACATTCTCTAGTTTGATTTTATGTTACTGATTGATTTCTCTCTTCTTCTCACGAGAATTTTGCTTTCACTTCAGCAAAGATACATGTCTATGAAATTCTTTCTCATGCTTTTTTTCTTTCTTACTTGATATATGATTTACAAGTCTTGTTCTCTTTTGTCAAAGCGTAATACAAAGAAAAGTCTCCTTTAAAAGAAATTAACAAAAATCTGCTATTTGGAGAGTACTAGTATATATAGCACTTGGTGACAATTTAAGCTTTTGTATTGTATCTATTTTTTATATACTTTTTTTTCCCATTTGAATGCTTAGAATCAATACTTTCTTAATGTTGGTATAAAAGTTCTGCATTTATCTTCTTCCAGATCTTGCTGTTAAGCAATAAGGTGGTAATTTGTTGAATAAAAATCAGTGTAACAAGACATCAGTAATGTGTTCATTGATCATAAATCACAGTTATGAAACTACAGTCTAGGTAATTTGCTTTTAAGGTGTTGCTTCAGGAGAAATTTATACATATAATATTGGTTTTTTATTTTATTTTACTTTTTAACTTAATGTTTAGCATTTTATTAATTTGCACAAGTTGTCCAAAACCAAAATAGATTTGAGTTCATTTAGTACCACGTTTTCAATCAGAGACATTTCTGCACCAGTGGAAAAGGTTCAGAAACTGATGATATGTATTTATTAAGAATTTTTTTTTAGTTTGATACAATTTTATGTTTATTTAGTAAGCATTGCGGGATGGTATCTTAATTCGTTGATAACATTTTCATTAGAAGTTATTGAGTGGCTCAATTAGAAGCAAATACCGTGTTTGCTGTTCCCATTCACTGAAGGGCTATGGGGTGTTACATACTCTGATCATCATCTTTTGCTATTTATTACATTTATATGGCATGTACTAGATTCCCGTAGGTATTTGTCAGTCTTTGGACAGCAAAGTAAATCTACACTTGGAAAGAAAATACTATTTACGTTTTTTAAAAGAAAAAGCAAAACCCCGAATTGCTAGCTTCTCAGTGATAAGTAAAACAAATTTTGCTTTTTAAAAGCGGAAGCATAGTGCCTTGTTTCTAACAACCCTAATCCAGTCTTCAAGTGACTAATTTTAATTGAGGAACTAAGATCTTGGATAATTGACACTTAAAATGCAGAACCATTTGTAGAATAGCAATAAGACTGAGATGATGTGATATTTTTGTAGATCATGTCTTCCTCTAGTGAATATATCTAGTCCCAGTCTATGCAGGATAGGATTTAGACACTTGAAAGTGATACAGACTTTGGTACTAAAGTGCAAGAATTTGTCTCTGCAGAACAGTGCTCTACAAACTTTAAGGATATGCTGAAGAGTTGTCAGGAGTTGAAGGAAATACTGTGAAGTGCCATCACTGGAAACAGCATGGCTTTAGCTTGCCCAGTGGTCTCATGGTGTAAATAACCTTTCATGGGGCAGATATTGCTATTTGGATGAAATGGCCAATTACATGGTTTTGCTTTTAAAGTTAACTGTGTTTGAAGAAGGTTGACTGAAATACCTCTGGTATTATCTTCAAAATTAAGCCAAGATCTTTGTCTAGAAAATGTCTAGAAGTACTGGAGTTGTAAGGAAGTAGTACAAGCCCTGAATACACCTGGGAAAGACCTCTCCTGTGGGAGTCCTGAACAAGAGTTGTAACATTGCTTTCTAGGAGTTAACAATGTGCTATGGTTTGCCCAAATGAAGTAGACGTTGGAAGTCAAATCTTACCAAAATGCAGATTACTTTGGTGCACAGAAGGAGCACTTTTAAAGGATCTGCAGTCACTTCACATTCACAGTTAGTCAGCTCAGTGTAAGATGAATTCCTTGAATTCCTCCTAAGACTGAGCTCTTATGCAAGTGATAACTTTATGCTTAACACCATCTCTTTTGACTGAATCATACTTTTTGGTACTACTGACCTGCTCAGGGTCACAGGTCTTTACCACCTCGTTTGTGAGCTACAGAAATGCAGTGGGTTTTTTTTATCCTAAAGGCACTGCTCTTAAGAAGATATAACCAGTACAAAACAGTGCTGTGTACCTATTACGCCAGTCACAAAAATTACATCAAAGCTGTTGTGTGCTATGTAGAGAGCGTAGTCTTGGTGCTTTGATCTTTAATGTGACTAGTGGTTTGGGTACATAATGTTCCAGGAAGAGCATTATGCTCCATAATGCTCAAGAACCTCCTCTTCTTGCGTCAACAAACTTCCTGATGCCTGTCACCAGCATAGAAATTGGTAAGGAAGGTAAATAACTTTACTGAATTAGGGCAGGTGTGGTAGGATAAACTCCTCAGCAAAGCATTCATCAACCTCATCACTTTGATTCCCATGTTAAAGTCCTACTATGATCCTGCTGCCTTTGATTAAAAAAAAAAGAGCAGTTTTTTGTTTAAAGTATGCGTGCTTTGTTCTTGGTGATAGAAAGTAGTTGGCTGTGTCTTGCGTCACATTTAGAAGGCATTTGGCTACTTGGAGCAGTGAGGACCTGTATGGAATATGTGTCGTGAAAATCTGATGCAACTTAATCCTTCAGGAGTGTCTAAACTATGTAGTTTTCAGAGCAATCTGAAACTAGTAGTGTATGTCATCTTTTTCCCATGTAAAACATACTCTTCTTTAACGATGAAGAATTAGTTGAAAAAGCTTCTATTTTTCAGTTCATCCAAGGGTGTTGTCGTAACTGTAGGATCTCATTCGCTGTATGAGGATGGCTTATTTTGGTACATTGATTTAAATTCACATGGGGAGACCTCCGAGTGGACTTTTGCTTTTGAGATATTTAGCTTCCTAGTTTGCTGAATATTCACTCATACTTAAGTAATGATGGTTGGAGCTACTGTTTTGTTTTAAGCATGATGTTTTCTCTCATTTGGAGAGCAAATGGCCTGGGCTGTATAATAAAACTGTAGTCGTCTTTCTCCTTTGGCTGTTTTCATAAAATTAGAATTACCGTACTGTTTGTCAGTCACAATAATCATAAGTGCTGAAAAATATCTAAACTTAACAACAAGCATAAGAAAACCTAACTGAGACTAAAAAAAAAAGGCCTCAGCCAATGGTGGAAAATTTTGGAGTAAGAACCAGGAATGTTAATTCCTGGGAGGAGGAGAGTCCTACAGAACCATGGAGGAAATGGGGCAAGGAGGACAGGATATATATGTATGGTTTTTTTTTTTTTCCTTGCCAGTGGTTATGCAAATATTCTCTTTAAAAATAAATCAGAAATCTGAGAGATACATGTTAGTATTTTGCAATCATAACCTACCTTAGTTGATGCTTTGATCCTAAGAGAAGCTGTTATTCGTGTAAATGCTGATTACAGTCTTCTGGCTGCACATTCTGATTTTCAGAATTACATGCTGATTTCACACTGATGTGGATTAAGACCGACAAACCAAAAAAGTTAAATGGGCTACAAACTGGGAAGAATGGAGGCAGGGGAAGGGATGGGATGGGATGCTAAAGTAGAAAGTGCATATAACAATTTATGCCAGTCAGCTTGTTTGGGGGAAAAGAGAGGTCTTTTTTTCTTTTCTGTTAAATAGAAGGGAAGCGTTGGTTTCCTTTGGAAATTCTGTTGCATATCTTCCAGGAGCTGAAATTAAAGGAAATAG